TTTTCTTTTCTATTCTTATTCGTCTTGTTGTCAATGTCAAAATTCATGTGTTTTTTTTTGATCTTACTCATTATTTCTTATCTATGATTGAAGTGTTACAAAATAATCAAATATATATATAAAAAATTCATTTAATCAAACAAAATATCCTATTTATTACTGATAAATAATGACGAATGTAACTAGAGAAATGTATCATGTATGATATTATATCTAATGGAAGTTATTATAAACAAAAAAACTTGTATTTTAATGGGAGAAAAAAAACAGCTTTTATTTCTCATCGTAGTTTGTTTATCTAATACGAATAGGAAGGAGAAAACGATCGCTGATCCGTGGTAAACAATGATGTAATAGTTTGTGTAAGATAATTTCTTGTTTAGTGAAGAGAAAAAGATATATACATACATTAGATTATCTTATTCTTGTTAATAATATCAAAAAAAAAAGAAATATTCTACAAACTTCTTGTTCATTAAAAAATCAAAGTATTAATGACTGTAATGAAAGTATATAAAAGATATACTAAATATCAACATTAGTATTCGAACACTTATTATCAAAAAAAAAAGAAAGAAGCGATTTCTTAAGTTAAAAAAAAAGCTTACCTGTCAATAGAAGGCTATTTGTAAATGAGTAGTGTGAAACATTTTACCCTCATCGACGCTTTAGTCCTTGTAGACAGTGAACGCGCTCATTCATTACGAAAGCAATGATAGTTCAAGGATATATAGAGATATATTCAAGTATTCTAATTGAAAAAGATTGATGGCTACAGATATACATGATTAATATCAATATGTCTGATTTAATTTTAGATTTATACAATATCTTTAGTTTTTTTTATAAAGTTTTTTCTTCGTTCTGTTTCGGATTTACAAACGATGATTTGTAGATACAAATTTATTTATAATTTCATAATAGAAAATAGAAAAAGACGAAAAAAAAAAGATTTTATTTGTGAAAAAAAATCAGCTGCATTAATCTTGTACATCTGCTATTATTCTCTCACATTTATTTTCATATCACCAAGTTATTTTAAGAGCAGAAAAAAGCTATCTTTTATCTATCTTCTAAAGTACATATAATAAAAGATTTTTTCTTTTTTTCTTTTTTTGAGAATATCTTTCTTTTTATTATCACTTTGGATTTTATATTACAGAATAAATATTCTTTTATTATTATCAAATAAGTAAAAAATAAAATCTAATAATCGAATGCAACTGATATCAAATCGTATTTTATTGATAAATATTTTAAAAGTATATTATTACTAAGTAATATTTAGTAAAAAAAAAACTTGTAAGAATGTAATAAGATTCTATATATTGATCTAAAAAATGTTTGTAGTGAAAAGTGAGAAGTGCATAATAAAAATATCATGAAGGATTAGAAAATATAATATGAGAAATTTTCAAGAATGTTTAAATATATTTCTATTTTAGCTTTTTATGGAATTTTTCATATAAATATATATGCAATTGTAAACATATTATTATTATTATAAATTAGACTTTGATCTTTATTCTAACTTTTTAATAAGAAAAGTGATGTCGTTCTTTTTTTTAGTGTCTTATAAATATATACAAGTTTGTATTAATTATTAAAGAGAAACTTTCTTCAAATATAAAAAAAAAAGATTTTATTATTTATAACCGAATATTGACTTGAAGGTATTGATTATTTCATTATAAATATTCAAGCTTTTTCAAATAAGATTTTTAAATGAAACAAATATACATATATTGACAATCTCCGAAACGGAAATAGTCTTAGTATTAATAATACGTATATATATAGATTTTATTTACACATGATTGAAAACATTTGTATAAAATTTTTTATTTCATAAAAAACTAGACATATTATTCTGCATGCATGAACATTTTATTTAAGGAAAAAAAAAAGAAGAATTTTCTTTGTATCCTCCTCCCTTCTCTCACAAAAATTGTTTATTTATTAGATCGATGAAAATAATTCTATTGATGAAATAGTAATTTTTGTCTATAGTAGATCTATATAATAACAATTACGCTTTATGTCATGTATTTCCTAATTTAATTTTGTTCGATTGCAAATAAGAATAGAATAGTTTTGATGAAAAACCTTATAGACATCTGGTTAGAATTTTCTTACATCTTGATCTATTTAGTCGTTTCCACTCAATAATTTATTCACAGCAGGTTGAATAGAAAACATGACATCTCTTTAATTGAGCATTGAAAAGAAGATTGGTACTTTTCTATCATTGTCCTTGCTTTTGATTCAATTATAAGAACAATATCTTTCTTGTCTTGATCCTTTCTTTACTCTCTTTTTTTTTCCTTGTTTGTCGGAGGTTAAACGACTGGTTGCGCTGTTGCTGCTATGTCGGATTAGTCGCGCACTTTCTTTTCTCGTCTGTCTGATGATGACGTGCACACGCACACACAAGGGATTAGAATACAAGCCGACGACGCGCGCATTCATAAGAGAGTTTATCGTCGTCATTGTCATCTTTGTCGTTGTTGTATGTATGTATGTATATATGTGTATATATATATATATGTGTGTGTGTCAAGTTTCACTCGTTTTTTTTCTCTTTGCAATGAGGTGTGGCGACGTGACGTGCGAAGTTCACTTTCACCCCAATCATCATCACATGCTCTTTTCACATATATACAATCAATGTCATTTATCTTGCACGCACTTTTGTCGAACGAATGAATGTATTTCGATGATAATAGCAGACTACAACTGCCACACCATCAACTAACATCAAGAGAAAGAGAGCAGCATGCATAATTGAGTTAATCGCTACGCATGCTTTCGTTCTTTTTCCCTCGGTCTCTTATACATTGCCGCCAGCTGTGAGAATGCGTCCCAATTCGATCGAGCGAACGATCGATACGGAGCTAATTCAACACACAACTCACATAGAAATAGACTCATTCGCCTGCTTGCAATGCCTAATTGTTTTGATAAGCAAGCCGCTAGGCATACATATACACATACACACCATGTAGCGAATCTTTTTTGGAACATATATACACCGACCTTTCCTTCATCTATATGTGTATGCAGCTTGTCATGTATTCTCATCAATCACTTCCCGCTTTATACACATCAGACACCCGCACACACTCGTTATACCATTCCATCCTTTTCTTCTACTTATTCTTCTTCTTCTTCTTCTTCTATACAACTTGCTATAGTCTCAACGGACATATACATACATATATACTATATACACACATATATATACATACATACATATATATATATATAAGCTTGGTCAAATCTATAGAGTAGGAGGGAGACCGGAAGCGACGGCAATTAACAACATCGAACTCTCTTCATTTCTCTGTTCTCTCATTGACTATCTTGACTAGCAGGCAACAAATGTTTGTATGGGTGCACTCGGTGGTAATGCCTCAGGAGATCAACAGTGACAACGACGTGTGCTAAAGGAACTTGTTAGACCGGAAAATGACCTCTAGCCTATATACACCACATGATAATTATCTATCTCTTTTCTGTCTCTCTTGTCGTCGTTGTCGTCACACATGTGATTTGATTTTTTATCTTTTCCGTTGAGTCGTTGCTGTTCTATATCTTTGGTGCACAATTCAATTTCCTGTTAATATTTAATCATTCCCGTCGGAACGAACGAACGAACATCAAGCTAAAAAAACGCTGATTGCTTTCTCGCGTGTTTCCTCTCTTTTCTCTTCTCTTTTATGTCCTACTACTGCCAAGTCAATTATTAATTGGGTGCGCGCGCGCGCGTAATAGTGATCTGGATTGAATCCTTCATCTCGCACCATCTCCACTGTCTCACATCTAATTGATGTAAAGAGACATATATATATATAGACAGATAAATAGAAAAAGGCGAAAAATGAGCTTTTCATGCTTTATTCATAAATATGTGTGTCGGTAGCGTAGCTCGTTAGGCTCTCGCTACTGTCGTTCTGAAGCAAAGCTAACTCCCTCATTGCGTCTCATAATTGATTTTCGATGATTTATTAGTTTACTTCGACGAACACGCAACGCCATGAGAGAGAGTGAGCTGCTGAGTGCATGGATGCAGAGTGTCAAAATTACTTGTTCTCTCGGGATATCGACCCGCAACACACACATACATACACACAAGTCCATTATTTCTCCTTTTCTTCTTCTTTTCGATCCTCTTTCCCGTTTCTTTTCCATTTGTAATTTCTTTTCCTTCGTTGTATATGTGTCTATCAAGAACATTGACCGAGCTGTAAGGCAGATAGACAAAGCATTGAATAAACACATTTTCTTGGGTGCCAAGACTAATTGAATTGTTGTTGTTGCTCGTTGTCGATCGTCCTCTTCCCTCTCTCTCTCTCTCTTATCCTCTCATCATCATATCACAAGCAGATGGTCTAATTTGCACACATACGATGTCTTTCATATTCTTTGCGTTATTTTGTTAGTATGTGTACGCACATCACATGCACAGAAACGACATACTGTGAAGAGTAACAACAGAAACAGAAGCATTGAAGAAGAAAGAATCTCAAGTGTCGTCGACGGTGAGTATACTTCTCGTCGTCGTTCTCTTTTTAATCATCATCATCATCATCATCATCATTTATAGATGTGAAATATTTTCTCTTGCGCTCTACATGCCACCGCCCGTCGCCGTCCGCCACTTGAGTATGTCAAGAAGGCATATAGCGAAGAAGAGGAGGAGAGGGAGGGGAAAAAAGGGGGAGAAAAGAACTCGATAAAATTATATATGTGTGTATGTTGGTTCAAGTGTGTGCGTGCATACACTTGAGTTTCGAGATGAAGAAATATGAATTAGCGACGAGTAACCAAAGAAAAGGAGAGAAAGAGAGAGAGAGAGGGAGAGAGAGAAAGAAAGACAGAGAATGAAAAGAAAGATTGCTAAATAGAGAAAATAACATACACAATGTGTGACCCATTGAATCAATGAGAAGCACTGCAGGTGTCAACTTTTATAGTTTATTATAGATAGATAGAACATTATGTTTATACCTGGATCAATTCCAACAAATACAAACTTACCAACAATAATGAATCATAATCTTCATCAACAACAATTTCTTTTTGATAATCTAAGTAAGTATCATTTATTTTCTTATATTTTGTTTTTATTTATATTAAATTATATTTTTTTATTTCCTATAACTAATAAATATATCTCGTTCTATATAATTTTTTTAAATTAGAGTAATTTTTCTTAAATATATATATATATATAGATGACTAATCGAAATTGACTGTAAGAAGGATTTTAGTTAGAATAGTGATAGTAGGATCAATTTCATCCTCTTCTTTCTTTTTCTCATCGAAATACACATTTTTCATCTATATATGTCTTCTTTTGGCTTATCCAGCTCAGACAACATTGCGCTTGATCCTTATGTCTCTTTTTTCTTAATCGATTTGACAACATTGAAATAAAAGACATCAAATATTGTCTTGATAACCTTGAACAAAAATCATTTTTATTTTATTTTATTTAGAAGATCATCGTTCAAATAAATTATTATCACCAATGTCACGAAAAACATCAGGAACATCAAGTAAAAAATAATATTTAATTTGTAACAATAATAAAAATATTTTCTTCTATAGATTTTTCACTTGATCCTGATTTATTACGTGAATTAAATGCTCGATATTTACATGATATAAATTCAACACGAACTCCTAGTGGAACAAATTCACCTATAGATGGAAATGGTCTTCCAACATTTCTCTTACCACCATTTCTTCGTGCTGAACATTATCATCAACATACACATACACATGAACATAATTTAAATATTTTAACACCACCTAATAATTCATTATTAAACGGAAATCTTAATAATTCATTAGTATGTTTTTAGTATTAATGTTTAAACAATTAAATATTTTTCTATTTAGTTAGATAAATTATCAAAATCAGACAATAGTCTTTCACCATTTCTACGTACAGCAAATGTAAATAAGATTTTAAATTTAATAGAAAAAAAAATTATTTTATTTCGAATTTAGTTTTCTCCATCATCACTGTTGCCACCACCGCCGCCACCTCCATCAGCAGCAGCAGCAGCAGTATCAGCAGCTCCACCAATATTTCCACCATTTAGTTTAGTTAATAATTCAACAGCAGCATCAACTCCAAGTACGAATAATTCAACAAAAGAAGCATCGTCACCTACATCTAAAGTACAAAAGAAACAAATCAAATAAACATTTGTTTTTATGTGATTTATTCTATTTATAGAAATCTAGTAAATGGTGTGCAGCACATGTTCGAATATCTTGGATGATTTATCATCAACAACAACGTGCGAAAGATAAATTATCTCCATCGGATAATAAAAAAGATGAAGAACAACAGCAACAGCAACAACAACAACAATCATCATTAAATCATAAATTACCCGATCTTATTACAAATACAAAACCTCTTCTGCCACCACCACCGCCATCATCATCAACCAGTGATTTATCTCTTCCATTACCATCAACATATCAAACACCACTTTTACCTCCAACATCATTTAGTATGTTGTTTTATTTTTTTCCAACTACGATTATTTGAACATGAAATGAACAATGATTTATTTTATATTTAGATTATCGATCACCATTTGATTTTACAAGTATAAATAATGGACCATTTGGTCGTGTACCTCCATCATCGAATACTGCATTTGGTGGTCTTGGATCTTTATTTCCACCACCACCTCCGCCGCCTCCTCCTTCTGCTCCACCCTCGTCGTCATCAACAATGGATCGAAAATCAGATATAAATGGATCAGTCGCAGCAGCTGCTGCACTTGGTCTTGATTGGTCGCGATTTCATCGTGGTATTGGACCATCATCATTAATTCCATCTTTAGCACCACTTTCATCTACCAATGATAATTTATCATTAAAAAAACTTGACGAAACAAATAATTGTAATAATGAAAAGTATGATAAAAATATTTTATTTAAATTTATTTTTTATAGAATTAAATTTATTTCTAGTAAAAAACGATCATCATCTGTACTTAATAATAATGAAGATGATCGTCGTAATTCTCATCATCATTTAATGCTTCCACCATCACATTTAACAAATAATAATAATAATAATTATTCATCATTAAATCGTTCTCGTTCACGTTCTCCACATCCAACATTACATCATCATAATCATCATTCATCGAATTTTTCAAATAAAAATTCATCTTCTTCACCACCATTACATTCGTCTTCACGTAAACGTAATTCACCAAATGTTAAATCAAATAATAATAATAATAATAATATATCAGATAGTTCGAAAACTTCACATTCACTACCAGGTTTACCTCCAGTTTCACTTCCACCAACATTTGGTGCTTTTGATCCTTTAACATTATCAATTATTGAACGACAACGTTTATCAGCTGCATATGCATCTTTATTTAATAGTGCGACGAATCCTCAATCAAATAATTATTTTCCAAATAATTTCGATCCTTCACAATTTCGTAATAATAATAATTCATCGAATATTTTTCCAAATCTTGATTCATCAGCGATGACAGCAGCTTTAATGCAACGTGAACATTTTCTTAATTCATTACGTCAACAACAAGAACAAATTATGGAACGTGAACGTGCTGCTGCCATATCTTCATTAAATAAAATATCAAAACAACCGAAAATTGAACAATTATCACCAAAAATAAATATTGAAGAAACTCCTAAAGTAGCTACATCGCCTGGATCACATTCTTCAACATCCTCATCATCATTATCATCGACATCATCATCGAAAAAAATCAAACGTGAAAAAGATTCATCATCATCATCGCCACCAACAATAGAAAATTCGAAAATAAAATTAAAAGAAGAATTACCTAATGAATCAACTTCAACATAAGTTTTGTTATACGAAAATATCTATTTGATTTTCAATCCTAGTTTTTAATTTTGCCGGTGTTGTCTTATTCTTTCTTTCTTTCTCTCTCTCTTTGTATTTATTATCCGCTATTTTTTGTCTTCTTTGCCTTGCAATTTCTATTTCATTGTTTATGTGTTTTTCATTCACGATACATAAACATTTTGTTGTATCGTGATAAAAAAACTTTTATTGACATCGAGTTTTTTTTGATGATCAATATGTAACATATATTCACAATTATGTTGTGGTGATGGAAACAAAATACGGTAGTTTTATTTTACTTTATAGACCCGATGTTTTCTGAGTTTATAAAACTTCAATCTAGAGAATTTTACTTAAAAGATTTATAAACTTTGCAAAATAATTTTATGTATTTTATAATTGAAAGATAATCTTATATATTGATTGTTATTATTATCATTCATCGAGGATTGAGATTTTTAATAAGCCTATCTGATTGACATCAAATGATAAAAAAAAACTCTATTTAAAATATTTATATTTGTACATCACTGTAGGTTTTCATTCACACTGTAAATATTGAAGAAGTCAATACCAGCAGAACAAAAATAAAACAAGTTAAAATAAATCTAGAAAAGAAAAGGTTTTGTATGATTTTTATCAAATATTATTTAGCTAGTGGGAGTGCTCATCCGAAATTTCATTTCGCCCATCCAGAAAAAGAACTCTAGATAAAACATTGGTTAATTCCAATTGTCAGAGTTGTCGATAGACTATAGATGATCATTGTATTCCTACATCTAAATTAATGGTAAATCTTCTATTGACATTTAATGATGAAATAACTATCACATATGTCATAACATAAAATTTTATTATTTGAGAACCGTGTGTGAAGATATATTACTATAAATCGAATTATGATTTATATCATTATGATACGAAAAAGAAGTTTGCAATATAAAAGAGCATGCCCTTCCATATATTATTTTTAGAATTTGCGCGTTTTTTTCTGGTGTCTATGATTGAGTCGTCTGTAATTTTATCTGAAAATCTTACATAAAATAAAAAGGATTAAATTTCAACAAGAATACTAATACTAGTGTTACCTTTTAGAATATACTATAAATTGTCAACAATATTAAAATCATTAAAAAGAAAAATTTATTTTATTCTAAACTGAAAATAGATCTATGAAGAATTGAATGATAATCTTGATTATATAACATTTATCTCTAACTCATTGTGATGTTATTTTGTTCAAATGAAATCTAAGAAAATTGTTTTTATTCGAATAATGTAAAAAGAAACTTTAACATTTATTTATCATTATCTTTAACATACGTAGTAAGATTAATCATGAATAAAAGTCAACAATATTGATAAGGATAAAAGAATATACACAATATCAATGACTTGCAAAAAGAAAAAAAAATTGTTGAAAACTTTTTTTTTATATTTCAATACATATGAATTGCTTCTTCTGCTTCTTCTTCTCTTTCTTGTTCTTTCGCTTTTACATACATCAAGTATGTAGACAAACGAATTTCATTTTGAAAGGCTCAATTTTCTTTTGAGTATTGTGATGATCAATAATGTTTACATCATACCTAAACCAATGAATGAACATATATCAAATCCTCAATTGATTCTTTCTTTTCTTTAGTTGTTCTCTTTGTATTCATCGAATAGCTCTTTCTCTCTCTCTCTTTCTCAATCTGCTGCCACCTCTAACCATTACTTCCAACCTTATAAACCACCATACACATTTAATTTTCTCTTTTTTTGCGCTTGTCATATCGTCAGCTGCAGCTTTGTTCGACACATGTGACACATCGTTGTGATGATTATATATTTTATTTAGTGTTGTACCACGCGGAAGAACAACAGACAGACAAACACGCATATACACCGATACACGTACTTGATAAGAACACACTGATAATGCATCTTCTAGGCGAATTAGCTCATACAACATGGTTACGTTTAGAAGATTTACTTAATAATTTAGATATTGATAGTGATAAAGAACGTCAAGCATTTATTAATGATACTCGTCTATTCTTTGAACAACGTTTATCAATTTATGAACAACAACGAATTGAACTTGAAAATCATATTAAAATTTTATCTGAACAAATGTATCAATTATTTGATGAACTTAATTTACCACATATAACATTTGATACGAATCAAATAACATTAATTGAAAAAAGAAAATTGATTAATGATAAAATAGATGAATTAAAACATTTGATATTTGAACGTGATAAAGAACTTATTTTATTAAGACAATTAATTGATAGTAAAATGAAATTAATTGGTAATACTCATATTAATACAGATCAGGTTAGAAAATTAAATTATTTTTAATACATTAGTATAGAAAAAGAAAAAAAAAACGTAGGACGAATGTTTGTTTGAGGGAAATATTTTGAGTCTAGGGAAATTTGAAGAAAACTTCTTGTATCTACTCATTAATATATTGAGAACGTTTTTCTTTGCATATATATTTCTGAGTATTTACTTTGATTTTTAGTATTATTCGATTTAATTATTATATTTTTGTTTGTTATTATAATTCTCACCTGATTGATTTCTATTTTCTACAAGTTATCATTAATTACCTATACAGAAATCATAAATAACAAGTTTTTTTATAAAATAATCAAAGATTATTTGTTTCTGTCGAATATAGATAGTCGCTTTCGATATCTCTGTCTAATAATACACAGACTCAAATAAAGAAACTTTTTTTATCTGAGAAAATATATCGTTTTTGACGACAGATGCTGTATCTCTAATAATAGTATCGAGACTCTTTGTACAACATAGTATAAAAACAATTACAATATAAACAAAACAATTCTATTGTTTGGGTAACTCGATTCAAATGAAAAACAGATTTTTTATATTAGTTTTCAGAAATACTTGTCCATGTAGAATATTACCATAGAAATATATACAGATGGACAAGTGAAAAAATTCTACGAGAGTATAAAGAGAAGAGAACGACAGGAAACTACCAAAGATAAATTGAAATAAACTTCAGAAGTAGTGTAATTTTACAAAAAAAGACTTCATAACGCATATATGCGTTCACGGTTCTGAAGGGTTTAATCAATCTAGGATGCATCATTAGATCAAATATCCACAAAAAAACATTCTATTAAATATATATTACATTGTTAGATTCATTTTCTTTACATAATGAAAGAATAAAAAACTAATTATATGGTATATAATGCATATTTCATCATTTCCTACCTGACAATGTATTATAACACTTTAAATTGACTGGTAAAATCTCTATCAAAAAAAAATAATATTTCTGTGAAATTTTTGTCTAATGATATATCGTACTTGAATTTAAGATTAACTTTATTCATTAAATATTTTGTTAAGATTCTTTCAACTACTCAAGCTAGTTCAATTTTATCAGATTTAACAAATGAATTAAACAAATTAAAACAAGAAATTAGTATTTTACTTGATAGAATTCATTCATTAAATCCTGATTTAATTTCCAAGTATTTAACTATTGCTCAAACATTTTTATCTATTACTGATGACAATGAATCAGTATGGGTAACAAATCATCATCCATTAACCGGTCATTTATTACATTCTCATCTTAATACAGAATATGAAAATTTACGCGAAATACTTCTTGCTGAAATTATTTCTCTTCGTACTGAACTTGATCAACCTGAACCATCATCTCCATATGATTTACAACAAGAATTAATTGATTTACGTTTACGTAAAAGATATTTATCTTTATTAACAAATTTTCCGCATAAATTAACATCTCATTCAACTTTGGATGAAATTCGTCAAACATATGATCGTTTAACAGCATCATTACGTGCACAAGCTCGTAATAAACTTAAAAATTTATGGGATCAATTAGATGTACCAGATGAACAACGTATTATACCTAAAACAAAAGATAATGAAGAAGATTATTTAGCTATGAATGATGAAATCAATCGACTTGAAACTTATGTTGAATCAATTCGACCACTTCTAACAAAAATTCAAAAACGAGAATGGTATAAAAAAGAAATGGTTGAATTTGAAAAACATGCAGGTGATCCAGCTAGATTACGTGGAAGTTCAACACAATTACTTAAAGAAGAACGATTTCGTATAATAATAATAATAATTACATGCACATATATTTATTTACTTATTTTATTTGTTTTTGTAGGAAAAGATCTTTCACGTGAATTTCCAAAATTAACTGATGATTTACGTCGTATGGTAGCTGAATGGGAAGAATTTAGTGGAAAGAAATTAATTTATGGTGGTGAACCTTATTTAGAATCAATGAATAAAGAAAAATTAAGTGTAGATTTTGAATTATTACATCTACGTTTACTCACCAAATGTCAATTACTTGTACAACCAACGAAAAATGAAACAATGTCAATTACAAATCATATTCAATCACCTCCACCAACACCACCACTTCCACGAACACCACCTCCACCAAAAACACCACCTCCACCACGAACACCATCACTTTCGCGAACAACACCACCGCCATCATCATCAACAACACATAAACCAACAAGTCGTATACCAACAATGAATTTTGTTAACAGTAATAGAAAAATTAATAGACAAACATAAAACAAATTTTATTTTAAAAATTTTTATTTTTTTGATTTGAAATCATAATAAAAATGTATTCAAATTAATTTTTTATTATATTACAGTGTGGGTGTGAATAAATATCCCGCCCACACTCAACCTAAATTGGAGAAGATCTAAGAATAGTTTTTACAAATATAGATATGAAATTCGTAGAATATTGTCTTAATCGTATTGATAAATAATTCAATTGAAATATGTGTAGTATATATCATGCTTTGTTCTTCTTCGTTGAAAATTGTCAGATCAAGTCCTTAAAATATTACATCTGTTTTTTATCATCATATAATAATGACGTAAAAAACATCTTGTTTTACAAGGTTCAATGAGTAATAGAGAAAAAACTAGAAATTCTTGATTGACATTGTACATTAAATAAATACCATATTTAACGTGAAATATAGTTTCAAGTATTTCAATAATTAAAACTACGCCATGTTCACCCACACAATACAAATAGCATACCTAACATTTTTAAAAAATACTTGAGATGGAGATTCAGTTCAAAAAAACTTTTCTTGCTCCTCTTATTTTAATTAATCATATTGCGTATGAATAGAAACAAAATCAAAACACGCAATAATACTCAATTGGAATGCATCTGCTGCAATTTATTTTAAATGAAGAAAACAAAACCTGTCATTTTTTATTTTTTTAATAATTATTTATTATAATTTGTTGAATGTATTTGATGATTAATTAGATAATCATGATGTTTTTTATATGTAATTAAATTTCGAAGTTGAGTACGAAAATTTGGTGTTGATATATAGAAAATATAAAAACTCGTAACAGGATTTGTATAGAATAATATTGATGAAATAACATGATAGAGAAAAAATTTTGATGAAGGTTTAGAATTTGTATGATTCATTATAATATCATAGATTTGTTCAATACAATTCGGAATTGTTGATATAATTATAGTAATCGAAATTAATAGAAGCATACGTGCTAATTGTCTATCACTATTTATATGGTTACATGCACTATGCTGTGCTAAGATTTTCAATTGTCTGAATGTTAATATTCCAAATAACGAAAGAAATATAATTGGTATTATTCCTTGTAATAATATTCGAAAAACATATAAATAATAATACGAATATGTTATTGAATAAATAATACATTGACCATTATTTGAAAGATTAAAAAAAATAATAAGTGGAATATTATGTAATCCAATAAGAGTACAAATAATTAAAATAATAATTATTGTTCGATGTCTTGTTGGACTTAATTCTCTTAGATGAACATCACGTGATGATATTAAATATCTATCGAATGTTGCCATACAAATACATGTTAATGATATTAGATAAAATGTATGTAAAAAATAATATCGTAATTTACATAAAATAAAAACATTTGTTTGTGTTATTTTATATTGATAGCCATCGAACATAATACGTGTTAATAATGGATAAAGTATTATAATTAAATTAGCAATTGATGATGCAAATAAATATAAAGGACTATTAACTGATCGATTATTGCTGTGTGTATGTCGATGAGAAGATTTTTTTGAACGAGACCATATTGTGAATATACAAATATTTAAAATATTTCCAATTAAACCCAATATACACATAAATATTCCCGAAATAATCATTATTTTATGTGCAATCATATTGATGTAATCTATTGTTTGTAAATCATATACTATTTGACAAGTTTTTAATTAGAAGATAAATAATGAAGAAAAAGAAAATAGTATCTAAAAGATTCGTGATAATTTGGAGAAAAATAAGATAACAAAAAAAAAGAAGAAAAGAAAAGTTCATTCATAATGAGGATGTCATAAGTTCTCTTCAATATAATTGATTATAATGAAAGAACTTTTTTTACTCCAAGTTATTTTTGACTTCTATTCTCTTCTATAACAAAACAAAAGAAAAATGTTTCATTCCAGGATTTATCTGGATCTTATCATTGAGCATAATGTTCCTATTTTTATTCAATGACCTACGAAATAAGAAGTATATTTAATATAATTCTGTTTTATATCAAAATAAATGACGAACTTACAAAGATATTTTCTATATCACATAAATAATAACAATCATCACGAACTATATGTGGTTAAATAAAAAAATACTATAATGTCAAAAAAGAAAATATATATGTAGGTGTATGTGGGAGATCTGACATTGTCAATAGGAAGTATTAAAGCTCTTTATTCTCATTTAGTCAAACTGATAATATTATTTGTAGTAATTACTTTTATGCAGATAAATAAAATATATTGTTTTATGAAGAATCATTCTGATAAGAAAATCAAATAAAGATATAGTAGAATCTTGAAAAGAAAAGAAAAATATAAAATACAAATGGTGCCAATCATTTTTTATGCATTTATTATGTATGAAACTACGTTTATTATTTGCGTGCATTTATTTTTTGTTCTTTTTAACCGAATACCCAGGACGATCATCAGAAACGGGCGGAAACGATTAGAAAACGGTGCATTAATTCTCACTGTTTTGTTCTGGAAAAGGAGCCGTTTTTTCAATTACAGACACAAATATATTTAAAAATATTTACTTAACATATAGTATAATTTGCTAATCAATGTATATTCTCTTTTTAATTCTATTGTCTTCTACTACAGTAATATAAAATGTATTGTTTACTTGCATGAATTGTTTGTATGAAACTCTTTGGAATAGGCATATACTATTCGATTCTTTTTTATTGATTAGTTTAGTATATCGTAGATCATGAATTGATCAGCATTTGATTAGAGAATATGTTGAATATGAATGAAGTATGATTGGTTATAAATAGTCATAAATCAATAGGGAAACAAACAAATATTCAGTCTGTCGCTAAAATAAAAGATCTAAGAGAGAAAAGAAAAACAAGTTTTGTTGCAAAAAGATCCAATATAACAATAAAAATAGGAAGAGATGCAAACAGATTTATTATAGTCTTAATTAAATACAGATGGAAACTGTTGAGAATATCAATTACATTGACATTTTTATATTAGAGATCACTTGTATTTATATATATATATATAAGATAAAATATTTCTAATCATATATTGACAATCGTCATTCGATTTTATTCTCTTCTTTTATTATTCATATGATTGAATGATTGTGTTTTTCTCAATTGCTCAAAATGATAAAAAGACTATCAAAGAAAAAAGAATTACTATTATGTTTCTATATTCACTTAGAATTTTTTATGAATTTCTAAAATAATCTTTCAAAATCTAGAGCAATATTCTAATCTTCAACACACTTATTTTTGTTTGCTATGCTATACAAGATTAGTATAATGCTAGTCATATTTATTTTTCATCTTTATTCTATACTAGATAGCATATACTAATTGTCTAGAAATAAGAAACCGGAAAGTTGTGTTTTTAACCATATTTAATCCTGACACACAATAAATCCAATCTAGTAGATGCAAGTTTGTTTGTATAATTCACAACTTCTTCTTTCGAGTAATAAATTTTAATTTTTACTAACAATAATAGATATTAAGAAAACTATACGAGACAGTTTGTTTTTTATTATTCAAATGATTCATACAATTGAGATTAATTACTAACAGATACAGGTTTTATAATGATTCTAACTGAGTAAAAACAATAACAAACAATTATCTTTTTTATTGTAGAAATGTCATAGTTAATAGAATAAAAGTTACAAGTTCTATGGGTCTGAACTTAGGATAAATAGAATTGTGTATTGATTTTTAGATTCATAAACATAATTACTCACATTTTTTTTGTTTAATACACATGTCAATTCTAATAACTATAATATACAGAAATGATTAAGACTAAAATGTTGTTGTGTATGAAAAAGATACTGTTTTAGCATATTATTTTTCTCAACCGGAAGGCATATGACCTTATTTTTTATCATATGTAACAGCAAGAACGATAGCTGCTGGCAGAAACGGATGTTTTTGATGGAAATCAATAAGATCGTCATGTTTGTCATATGATCAGAAACAGACTGTGTGAGAAAATAACCAAATCGTTTAAGCAATAATCATTAGAGATTTTGATGTATATTGTTTCAATTAATTTAATATTCGGAAAAAAATCAATTAAATATCAATAATAATTTATATTGAGTGTAATAGTAATTTATCGACATAATCAGATATGACTCTATGTGTGAAAAGTAATTACTATTCAACATTTACAAAACATTGCAACACCTATCTTAAGGGTGTCGTATAATCTTGGTGCGTGGAAAAAATTTTGATGTAAATCTTTTACAAACTAATAAAATTTGGAATTTATCAGTTTGAATAAAGAAAATGTTACGAATAACTCTTTCGAGATAAATATTGAAGTCAGGTTTGTGTTTCATACCGATCACTCTTGACCTTTCTAGAGAGAGGGTGGAATTGCGTGATAGTATTAATTATTCGTCGTCACTTTCATTCACAACCACTCACGCTCAAGATGCGAAATACTTATCAGTATTTCTTTTATGTTTATTTTTCAGCAGTGTCAAACACGAAATTTAAATTCAACTATTGAACTGTTCACTTTCATTCACTTTAGAGATGCTCCTTCACCCTCACTTTGTATACCCTTTATCATCTTGATGAAAGGGTTAAAACAATAGTTGAATTCAATTTCAAGTATTACATGTGTGTAAAATATACAATTGCACTTTACATGAAATAAATGCTTTGTTTTATTCCACTGAATATTTATTATAAATGAAAATGTAACAAATGAATAATTAAATTCTCTAAATTACATTTTTCAGACATGTATTACGATGAGATGCTTCTCATAGAGCAAAGTCTATTTTTAAATACCATTTATATATTTATTTGACGTAGAAAGGGTTAATTAAACATCCATGTTTTATATTTAATAGTATTCAAGACAGTATTGGACTATAAACTATTAATACGACTCTTTCAAATCCGTAAAATTCATTTTATATACGAACAGAAATTTAAAAATATTTCATACCCAATAAACTTTCTATTAATAAATAAAAAAAGTATGATAAAATTATATCCTCGCCCTATATTATTTGTAATGTTCAAATACTACTTACACACGTTTATATACTTAGACAGATCTTCAAATTTGAAAAAAA